TGGTTTTGTTCTGTCCTCACAGAGGGGGGTAGGTTTTCACACCTCTGTGACTTCCATGTGACTTGCCTGTGGCTGAAAAAAGGGGGGGGCTGCAGAAGTCCCCCAGCTGTTATTCACCAAAGCTGCATTTTCCTCCTCTGGTCATCCTGTCAAGATGAAATATGGACACTGGTTCCCAATGTCCAAAAAGTATGATCATGGCATATGGCACAACACACTTTACATTGAAGTGTGATCATATTTCGGATGCTGAATAATTCTTACTTGTGATAAATACGCAGAAACATCCTTGTTGTTTTTTTTTTAAATACATGGTGGAGATTATAACATCAATATAATATGATTGCAAGAGACAAATTCATCCTTTAGACAAATGATTAAAAGCTTTTGAAACTCAATATACTAGTACTTTATTAATAACAAAGTGAAAATAAATGTTGCAATAACTCATAGGTTATTTTTTATCCCAGGGCTGTAAGTGTAGATAGCTGAAGGCAGTTACTTGCACAAGGCCAGGCAGCTATGGCTACAATGTATCTTGTCACCATCAGTGTGAGAGTATGTGCATGAATGGGTGAATGACTGAATGTAGTGTAAAGTGCTCTATACAGGCCATTGACCATTTGTACGTCTAAAAAAATAAAAACTCACAAGTGAAGCAGATACATCAGTGGGTTTTAGGACTTAAAGACGCCAGCTGATTTGTAATTTATTTCAACATTAGTAACAACTTAATTTCAGTATTGAATATGCATATTCATTTTAGACTCCTATCCATCTTCTTTGGCTTATCCGTGGGGTCATGGTCAGCCAAAGCAGTCTACGAGCAAAAGGCAGAATACACCCTGGTCAGGCCGCAAAAGTATTACAGAGCAAGACATAGAAATACAACAATGCACTCACACCTATGTCCAATTTAGAGATGACAATTAACCTAACAGTCATGGTTTTGGACATTAAAGGAAACCAGGTACCAGAGAGAACCCCTGCATGCACTGGAAGGGCATGCAATCTTTGAGCACAGAGACCCTAGGCTAGGAATCAAACACATGACATTCTTTCTGCAAAGAAACAGTGCTACAAAGTGCATCAGAATGTATTCCACTTTGTTTTTAACATTCTGATTAAATAATAATTTAGAAGACTGGCTATTTGAAGAAACCATTAAAAGTGTGCTAAAGTTCAGGTTTTCTTAATATACTGTAGATATCATTTTATATATATATTTCAAAAACTATTCTCCTTGACTCTCTGTCCTGGTGGGCAAAATTTTAACTGCTGGAGAACTGAGATCAGGGACCCTAAGTGGCCCACAGGTTGCATTTTGAGCGAAACTAATAAAGCTTGCACACTCCTGTTTGCGTCTTCTTTCATCACTATAAAGTTCAGATTGAAAATTTGGTGACAAAAACAAACTCATCACTTTGTGGCTTTAAGCTTCCATTGGTCAAACACCAGCTTAGCAGACACTGCATCTTCAACTCCCATTCCTATTAATATAATACAAACATAAAAAGTGTCACAGGGATGATTAAAAGCTGAAACATAGTTAAACCTCGTTATTTACTCAGTCTAACTATATCAGCCTACATACCCAGGGACTTGAAAACAGTTGTCTTCTCCCTTTGAGCAGATTTTGTTCCATTTATAACATCTCCAAGTTCTGCAAAAACTTCTGCCTGAAAACCAGAATTTAACGATCTTACATTTTTCTGTTAATAAATCAATGTATTTAAAATGCCAGGCTAAATATCGTTTTAAGAATGACTTACCCCAGAAAGAAGGACATCACCAGACTCTGACAATGCCCCCTCTCTGCTGTCCACATACACCACAGCAGCCTTCATTAACACGTCGTCTAGCTCTCGCCAGTCTGGTCTGCAGGCTCCCACAGCTGTTACACAGGGTTATACACAAGAGTCAAACCTTAGCCTTTGTTTTGTATTGTTAGCTAACATTTAAATAGACTATTGGGTTTAATATAATTGAGAATAAAGTCAGCAGATTTCATTAGTGTATCTGACTAAACCATGTTTTACTTTGTGTGTTCTAAATCTGACTATGACATTGACAACTGTGGAATATATACACTATTGCTCTAGACAGACTGCAGTGTTTTAAACTTTCTTTGGGAGATACACCCCTCTTGGGTCATTAACCATGATATTAATTTTGGACATTTAGGGACCAGTGTCCATGATGATATTAAAGGTCTAGTGGAGGATTTTTGCTAATAAAAAAAAAACCTGCCCACTTCACTAAAAAAAAAAAAAAATGCCCATGCACAACTCTTTCCCCACTTTTAATAGGAATGCCTATTAAAAGCGTATGAGAGCATTCAAAAGCCCATTTCTGCCTGTCCATGCTCTGTTTAAAAGTTGTTCTCATAGCTCATACAAGCTTACTGTGTCTGAACGTCCACCCTAAACCCTAAATTCCTCAATCTCTATATAGAGCAAGGACTACAGATGACGACACTACTTTTTGCTCCCCAATGCCTGCGCCATCCTTGTTAATAGTCACCGCTCTTGGGTGGGGACAGCCTATGGCAGGGGTAACCAATTAAAAATCAGCGGGGTCCGAATAAAGATAATCCTCAACCAGTAAAGGTCCAGAGACATTTTTTATTATAATCTGTTACTTTAAACAAAATTTAACACTGAAATAAAAAGAGGTGTTTATGCATTCATGTTATTGAATTTTTAAATAAAAAATATTTTTTTTTAATTCCATTTTAAATCTAAATTGTTTTTTGAATTAGAGAACAACAATCTTTCACTTTGTTATTAGACAATTTCCTGATTCACATATTTTTCAAAACACCTGAACTGAATCCGCTCCGGTCCGGCCTGGTCAAGATCAAAAAGAACGGCGAGAAGATCCGGTTTGTCAAATGAAAATATAGTAACAACAGTTCGGTAACAAAAAATTAGGGCATAATTCTAATATATTTTAAAAACTAACAGCGTTTATTTAAAAGATTGGATGTACTATTGGTACTATTGGTACTTCAAAATACCAGGAAGCAGATTTCTCATCTCCATCAGAAACCACACATATGCTTGATGCTGATAAGGATTTTTTGAATATGTCCTATTAAATTCTGCGTTCATTTCCACATGTTTTTCTCCTGCGAATTTAATGATAATATCCTGCATGTTCTCCTAAAGCTTAGAGGATAAGTCGGAGTGCAACAATACGGGAGGAACAGCGGAGGCTGTAGGCTTTGCTTTGCACAGGAGGTCTGGAGAGCTGCGGGGTGGAGACGGAGGATGTGGGATTTCAGGGTAACAGGAGAAGCAGCGCAAGTGACGTTTAGACACTGACATCAGACAACATGCGGTAATTTATAAATGTTTTAAATCAGGTTGGGTTCGCATTAGCCAGCAGGTGGGTCCGCTAATCCGTGACGTCTGGCCTATGGGGACAAGCACGTAGAATGGCCTCATGTAAACATATCAGTAGAATGATTGACAATTAGGAGGACCACTTATTTTGATGATCCACCCATAAAAGCAAATTTCTCCACTATATCTTTGATATGATCATTGGGGTATGATTTGCATTTTTCTCTGCAGCCTGCTCTTTATCCCCTCTCAAATTGGAGACTGATCAAAGCCTAAGTGGACTTTGTGGCTAACTTCAGAACCAAGTAGCTGCAAAACAGACCGTTTGCAACATTTCTCTCTGGGTTACAAGAACTTTTCGATGCACAAAGAGACTGGAGGTGTGGGGCATCAAGGGCTGTAACAGTACAATTTTGGTATCAGTACCAACATCTATTTCAGATATTTTCTATACTTTTTTTTAAATAATAGAAGAACACAAAAACTACTGACTATATTTGAATTTCAAAAACAAAAATATGTCATGATCTTGGTGCTGATGACTGCCTTGATTACTGATTTCATTCACCTGCCTAGCTTCGCTCAGTTCTCATGACCATTCATCTAATAAACCTGCTTTGGCCTCTATTTAACCAGCCTTCAACCTGTTATCAGTGCCAAATTATTCAAGCCTTTGATGAGAGTTCTCTAGCCAACCTGAGTGTGTCTGATTGCTTGATCCTTATTCGTTCTGCCTCTGAACCTCTGAGCCTGCCTGCCTGACCCCTTTCTGACATTTGTGCCTGACCTGTCCTCTGACTCGTGCAGTGCTATGTGCTATGATTCCAAAGCACTCCTCGGCAATGGCTTTGGTTTGGCCCTCTGGATTATCCTGCCTTCCTTCATCTGCTCGGTTCTTATGTCCTGCCAGTCCTCCAACTTCCGGGACTTCAGCGTCTGGGACTCTCTGGGCGTCGCCCACTGTGTCCTATTGTCTGGAATCAACCTTATCCTCTGAGCTCAGACTGATCTTTAAGACCAGGTTCTCCAACGTATCGTTGTCCTCTTCCTGGTCACCTGTAGCCTCTTCTGCTATGCTCCTTTGATCCTTCGCAATTGGCCTATATAGCTAGCCTCAGTCAGCTGTATGTAGCTGCTCCCCACCCTGGTGATGTTTCACCAAAAGATTAGAGCTAATTTTTCATTATATTTGCTCTTATCTTTTGGGAGAAGTTTTCCTTCAAACTTTTTGGTACTCATGAATGAAACATTCACTGAGAGTAATGTCTAAATCTCTACCTCTGTTGTTGCTAAGCAAATGTTTACCCATCCTAAGATGGCAGCAGTCAGTTCGCACTCAGATGTGTGACATCTGGGCAATGCCATCTACAGGCTACATACAGCATATAAAAGTGTTAATTTTTTTTTGGGTGAATATGGACATTTGACCTTTACTATTGCTATCACATATCACCTCACCTGCCACATGAGCTCCTGCTTTGACCCACTGACCAAACAGCACCGGTTCAGTTGATCCAGTTACTGTCACTATAACATCTGCTCCCCTAACAGCCTCCTCTGCTGAGCTGCATCCTTTTACTGGACCTCCGACTGAGCAGACAAACCTCTCAACGCCCTTTTTTGTCCGGCTCCAAACTCGAACCTAAGAAAAGACAGGTAAGCATTTAAAAAAAAAAACATGCAAGACAAAAAGGGACAGAACATGCTGAAGATCTCTATCTTCAACATGTTCTGTCCCTTTTTGAGAACAACACAACTAAATAGCTTTTAGAAATTAATTGATCATTTAATTTCTTAAAGATTACAGAAATAAAACTGAGTAACAGTTATAAGATGTATGTTAGGTGATCATTTGGATTCACCTAGTTTAAGCAGAACAAAAGTCTTTTTTCTTACCAGTACAAACGTACTCTAGCAATGCGCTGCTTAAGGTGGTTGAATGTTGGAATAGCTCTGCTAGCTTTCCTCTCATATTCTTTTTTAAGAGAGCTTGAATTTGTCCATTTTTGGAACAGAGTTTCTTTTTCCTGATGTTTTTCACCTCTGTTGTTGTATGTTGTGAAACTGAAGGGATTTTCACTAATATTTTTGTCCTTTTTGGATACTTATGATCCGTAACCATGGCAAGTTGATTTTTTACACCTTGGAGCAGCTCTTTAACATCAATAAAGCTGCAATAATACCTCAGCCAATACTGCAAGTACCAACTGAGTTGAAAAGGATGCACTGGGGGTGCAGAGCAGGAGAAGACAGAGAAAGAAGAACTTTAAACAAATCTTTTCCATCAATCATCATAAGATCTTTAGCAAACAAGTTAAAAGAACTCCAAGTCCTAGCATGGGCCCAGCTAGAATAATCAGGAGTAATGCAGCATTGTGCGTTTTACTGAAACATGGCTGCAGGATCATATCTTGCACTCCAGTGTCTCTCAGCCAGGCTTTCTGACCATATGAGCAGACAGAGATTTAAAGAAGACTGGGAAATTCAAAGGAGGTGGGTTGGCACTGACATCCAGAAGATGTTACTGTGAGATTTGTCACTGCAGCCCAGATAATGAACTGTTGGCAGTTGGTCTTTGGCTATATTATTTGCCCAGAGATTTCAGCAGTAATGTGAAATACTTATTGGTAAAATGTGAGATTTCTTGTGTAACTGATATAAAATTGTACTTAAGTAATGAGAAATACATAACAATGGAAAAGTGACATTTATTTTAACTATTGTAAGTTTAGATGTGTTTAATTAAACATGATTTTATTTGTTATCTCTTTCTACAAAGAGTTCTGACAAACTACTAAGAGTATATCACATTTTTCTGAACACCAGCAAAGTATTTTCTTAATGCATATGTCTTATGCAATTTACCAATCTAATTTTGCTGAATTATTCATTGATCAACAGGTAATATTTGTACCTCTTTAAAAGAGAAGATTTCAGTAAAGACTTTATAATGACTCAGAGCCTGTTTTCCCGTCCCCAGGATTGTCAGGACCTCTGCTCCGGGAGGCATCAACAGCTGTGCAGCACACAAAGAGACACAAAACTGACTTAAAGATCCTCTAAAACAGAGCAGCTTAACCTATTTAATTAGATCAGGAATAGAGATACCTTAGCAGATATGGCTGAGACAGCTGCAGTCCTCATGTTGGTGATGACCTCCCCATCAATGACCTGGATAGAAATTGCTAATATAAGCGTGAAGCAGTCACAACTGAAGCTAATCTGTTTGTTTGTCTGACCCTGATTTGTAAATAGACCTACATATGCCCCATTTACAGTACCCCTCTGAAACTGATCCGTGTCGAGTTCGGACCGAGCTTGGATCAGTTAACCGTGCTGAGCTTCGTTTCTTACGACCATTTACACATCACACTAGCACAGTTCCTCACCTCCTAGTGACGATCTACGGTACTACTAATAGGATTAAAGGAGGGAATCAAGCAAATGAAAATGGTGGTGCCCTTAACATTCAGGAAGATATGTTTGGTTATAATTGTGATATTTCCTTTCTTGAAGAGAGTCAGGTAAAGAAGGCAGCCTTTGGTCGCACCAGTCTCTTTTGAAGCCCTTTTATAAAATGTAGTGCTGAGAAAATATCGATTGTTGTTAACAGTTCTTCTTCTTCTTCTTCTTCTTCTTCTTCTGTTTTATGGCAGTTGGCAAGCAACTTACTGATGTGAGTTACAACCAACTACTGGAAGCTAACTGTAAGGAGATGACGGGGTCTGCTCATGCACTTTTTTTGCACTTATTTTTATATATCTTGGTTACTGTGCTCGGACCGCTTTGGGAAGGGTTTAAAAAGGGTGGTGCAATTGTGCTATTTTAACACCAGAGCCCAGCACTGGGTTGGCTACCCATATAAAACGCACATCTATGGGTAGAAAAAAAAAGTGTAATTTCATGGGTGTGGCCATCGGTATGAATGAACAAAATGCAGTATGAATAAAACTTCACATTTCCTTATCTATAAACTCTACATCTTAAAAGTAAATAGATTCAAGAATATCCTGATAACAGTATTGTGAAAACGCTCACACAAAGTCCCGTGAAACTGGGTTTTTATTCCGAAAAGACAAGCTGCTATATTTTGGGAGGCTGTTGCATTTGCAGATTACTAAAATAAGATTCTTTATGATCAAAATCCCACTCCTAGACTGAACTAGAATAATGTACTTTCTAATTTACAATTTTGCAGCAGAAACTGGGTTTCAGAAAAAAACAAAAACAAAATTATACTAGTAAGAATTAAGTTCTATTTACCTAGAAATTTTTACACATTTAAGTGGCTGTTTTACCAGTTATCAGCTTGACTAAATATGTATATATGACGTGTGAAATACATTGCTTCATAGGGAAAACAATACTGAAGGGGGTTAAGCCAACGTTTAAAGCCAATGGAGTATTTGCCGGGGTGAGATGGTAAACAGGAAATGTCCAAACACTGTTCTTGCAGTTAAAAGCTGATTTATTCCCACTGTTGCTTGCTTACAAAAACAAAGAATTATACAAACGGCCAGCTGTTGTTGACACAATTTCCGGTCAAGTGTTCAAAACCGATTTGCCTTTTTCGGTGAAACACACACCCATACACACATCATTATCTTTCTTTTATAGAGTTTGTACATATTGGCTTCTACAAACTGGCCCCTAATTGTTAGACATAACAATTCTACAACACACATTTTCAAGCAATGTTTATTTAAATCAATACCATAAGTTACATTTCATGCAAAAAACTAAATTTGGTAATGGGGTGCTCAAAAACACCACTCATTGTTTGCAACTTTACAGTGCAAAAAAAACTCTTGTCAGGAATAACCTCTAAGACTCTTCCCAAACACCAAGAACCTTGTGGTGCTTAAGAGTCAATGATTATATCAATGTCCCCAATGACCGAGTTTCTTTTAGTTTGGGTCTATATTTGCCTTTCTTGGGGCAATGATAAGTATTTTGCCTACAGATCTGCTCTATTAAAAAGTCCAGGTGGTAGTGTTGATTTTCTTTTCAGTAGCAGCAAATGATTAGGTATAAGTGGTTCCAAATCCTTTGGGTCTTCTGATGGCTTTGTGATTTGACGATCATTAAGAACGGCTTCAATTTCACTTATAACTGTGCTAAGACCATCCATATCCAATGATTGTTGTAAAACTGAGCTTAGAATGCGTTTTATCAAGCGTATGATACACTCCCAGATGCCACCATGACGAGGTCCTACAGGCGGGTTAAAACTTCATTCTACTCCAGATGGAATGAGTGTCTTTTTAATCTTCTCATGATTTAATGCATCCAAAGCCTCTTTCAGTGCTCTTGCTAAACCTATAAAGTTTGTTCCATTCTTATGTGAACAACTTGACCTCTTCTACTGATGAAGAGACATAGAGCATTTATACAGTCATTGGTAGTTAAAGAATTTGCAACTTGAAAATGTACAGCTCTACTTGCTAAACAGGTAAAAATGACACCATGGCATCATATTGTTCTCCCTCTTTTCACCTCAATGGGTCCAAAAAAATCAACTACAACATTGGTAAATGGAGGTAAATCAGAAGTAATTCTCTGATTTGGAAGGTCTGCCATTGTTTTGGTTTACTGGTCTTGCCTTGGATGTCTGCAAAATTTGCATTCAGAAATTACATTTTTACACAGCAGAGTGTCCTTGTAGAATCCAATATTTCCTCCTTTCCACAGCCAGAGTATGATTGCGTCCACTGTGACCTAGGCTTTCATGAGCGTGGATGAGCTTGGTTATGTGCTGATCTTTGCCAATAATGGGATGTTTCTCTTTCACTGGCATGGTTTCTTTACTCAATCTTCCTCCAACCCATAGAATATTGTCCTCCCAAATTGGATTCAGCCTATGGATAGAACTTTGTTTGCTGATCAGGCCCCTGTCAGACAATCTGGCCATTTCCTCTTTGAACTGCTGTTGCTGACAATAGCGTACAATGGCAAACTCCACCTGCGACAGATCTTCTAAATTCAGTGCAGATTTCTCATTCAGGTCATCTTGAGAAAAATTGTTGGTAGTCTTTCTCCTTCTACAACACTAGAGTAGGATTGAGTTTACCTTGTTAAACAAAGTGACAGATTTCTTCAGCTTTTGCCAATCAGAAAAGTAACTAATGAGTCAATCAGAAGGATTTAATTCATTACAAGATGTGACATTCACAACTGCACTTTTGTGGACATCAGGATCATCAACTTCTAACACAGGATCAAAAGGAAGCTTGTGGCCATTCCTGGTCAGATTTCCATAAAAACTTGGGACCTTCAAACCAGATGTGATGTACATTAAAGTCTGATATTCTCATTCCTGTTGAGGCCGCATTTGCTGGATTTCCCTCTGAGCAGATATGCCTCCATTGAGAAGGATGTGAAGTCTCTGTTATAGCAGAGACTCTATTTGCCACAAACACTTGAAATTGTGTGTCTTCATTGTAGATGTATTTCAATACTGACATACTCTCGGTCCAGAACACAGAATCATCAATCCATAGTTGCAGCTCCGCCTTCAAAAGGGCATCCAACTGAGCAGCCAGGACGGCAGCTGTTAATTCCATTCGTGGGATTGTGATGGTCTTCAGTGGAGCAACTCGAGCCTTGTCTAATAAGAATGCAACTTGAATGTCATTCTGGAAGTTCTTTAGTCCAATGTATGACACAGTTTCATAGCCATCTTTGCTGGAATCAGCAAAATGATCCAATTCTGTGTAAACAGACTCCCCAAAGTCTTTTGGTAGAATACATTGATTCATCTGAAAGTATGTCAAGAGTATAAGCTCGAGTCCATGAATTCCATTTTTTTGTAAAATGTCTGGAGGTAAAGCCTCATCCCAACCACATTTTCTTTTGCAGAGTTCCTATTGCAACATCTTGGCATGTTGCAACATGCAACAACCTGCACCTGTCACTCTCACAGGTGATATGTTGCAACAGCTGTCACTGTTGCAACATATCACCTGTGAGAGTGACAGGTTCAAGAATTTCCAAAGGATCATACACAGAGCTGGTTACTGACAGCATACCATGCCTAGTGAGACATTGTTGTTTAACTCCAATCTTGAACTTGAAGTCATCCGATTCCACACACCAGAGAAGCCCTAAAGCTCTCTCCATAGGAAGTTTGTCCCGATCTAGGTTGAGCTCTTTTAGATCCTTTGCCCACCAATCTTCTGGAATGTTTTGCAAAACCTTAGAAAAGTGATTGGGTAAGGTCACAACTTTATTTCTTAGGGGTAAATTAAGAACATATCTATCTTCCTGTAGATGTGCGGTAGAATCCATAATGTCCATAAATCTCAAATCCTTCCTTGACATATCTTTACCTGCTGAGGGGTTTTCATTAAAGTCATGATTATAATGGTTTTGTAGAATTAGCTCTAGATTTGTCACAAAAATTCTGTTGATTGCTTCCCACGGCTCCAATAGCTTGGGTGCGATGGTTCCTATGAACAACTCAACAGTAGCATCTATGTTTGTTTGAACGTTACAATAGAACCTTAGGTAACATCATACAAGCACTTCCTCCCCAGTCCAAGGCCAGACGAACTCAGATTCTCAGAATTTTAACATTCTGCTACAATTGCACTGAGAATGAAACAACTGGGTTTGCTCCGTTTTTCCTTATGTTCGGCAGGTTCCCATGCCTACCCATTGATGTGTTTTTTCAGCATGCTCTTTCCACTGGCCCAGTTGTAGACCATTATGAGTTTGTCTCTCGCCTCAAATATGATCTCACTGTGGCTGCCCGCATTGCTCAAAAAAACAGTTAATCAGAACAAGCCCACAAAGCAATGAAAAAAAAACGCAAAGCTAAAGGTTCTCCTCTCAAAGTGTGTGACAGAGTTTTGGTTGCTAATCGTGGTGAGCGAGGGAAGAGGAAAATTGCAGACAAATGGGAATCAACAGTATATGAAGTGGTTTCTCATATCAATGTGTATTGCATCAGAGATCCTGTCACATCTAGTAGAAAGGTTTCTCAACAGAAATCCTCTTCCTCCTGTCAACTTTCTCACTGCTGCGGCTGTTTCTGATGATGCAGACAATTCTCCTTGCCCTTCCACAGCAGGAAGTAAACTCTATGACCCTGCTGTGCCTGATGAAGTACAGGAAATTGAAACTAAAACTGTGAACTGGCTTTTGCAGATGGAGGACAATTGTCGTATGGAATAAGTTGTAAATCACCCTGACTGTGCTTCTGTGCAAATTGATCACAATAATTAAAATAGCCTTTATAAATAAATTAACTTGCAAATTATGAGGACAAGGCTTTTGAAGTTTAAATCATCTGGCAAATATAAAGTAAAGAAGATCCTGCAATTTATGGAAGTAAAGCAGAATAAAATCCAGCAAGATCAGTAATATGTCAATTAATTATCTGCCACATTCCCATGTAAATATCTGTCTTTGGAGGATGTGTTTTTTACCACCCCTAGTTCTCTCATTTTTATTCCAAATACAATTTATAATTTGAATCACAGGGCTATTTTTATCTCTATGGTTCAGTATTTTCTCAAGTAGCAACTTTAACTGCTATACTTTCCTGTCTTAAAAGGCAGAACTCTATTAGTCTAAAAAAAACCTCATTTGTTGAAATGGGGGCGCCTATTGTTTGAGCCCCTTAGGGGCTTTAAAAAACAAAAATGCCTGTCTTTTTTTGCGCTTTATGAAACAAAGTAGCCTATATTTTGTGGATGTAAAGCTACATTTCTCATGTAAGTTTGCGTAGTTTTATCACAAACATTTATTTTTCATATTGCACCAGTACAGTTAATGAGCAACCTGTACTTGTGTGCTTGTTTGTTCTGTCTAAAATGTTTATTTTGGAATAAAGAGGTTAATATAAAAAATATTTTTTGTCCGATTCATCGATTAATCGAAAAAATAATCTGCCGATTCATCGATTTTTAAAATAATCGTTAGTTGCAGCCCTAATATATATACATGCTTGAAGCTAAAAGAAGTAAAGAGCTAAGTTAAAGCTGCAGCAAAGCTTATTGTTCATATGTATCAGGGCAGATTTACAGAACAGAGTAACAGAGTGTAGAAAACAACATGTGCAGGTGAAGGCTGAGAATGACCTTTCCGCACACACATACACAAGAAGAGATGATGTTGTAGAAGCAGAAAAAACAGGAAACAACTCCATACATGGAGATAGGAATGTAGGGAGTATGATCAATCTGTAACTTCTTGTGGGACTGTCTGATTCTACGGAAGCGTATTGCATTCACCAAACAGAAAAAAAACTGACAGCTTCTCTCATAATTACAAGATCAGTATCTCATAATTCCAAGATAATATCTCGGAATTAAAAGACATACGAGATAAAGATCTTGTAATTATGAGAGATACTGATCTCGTAATTACGAGATCTTATATCGTAATTATGAGATAATATCTATATATTTGGTTATGCTTACTTGAGCCCGTAATGTACAATCTCTCACAAAACTGGTCTTCTTGATCACTTATTAAGAATATCTGCATCTGTTCCACTGAACAGTCCTCTGCAGATCTAACATGATATGTGTTGGAGTTCTGCTCCTGTTTTTCACTCTATCAATAAATCCATCTATAACCCTGGGGTTACTACTTGTGGAGTAAGCATGCAGTGATATGACCATACATGAAAATCTGTCAACTGTTCTATTAATACAGATTCTGTTTGGTTTTAGTTTTTCATATGAATCGACATGCTGCATGAAGTTGGGACCTGGTTGTTTTAAACGATTCTGAAGCTGTCATGATCTTGGCACTGATGGTTTGGTTTTTCCCTTTCCTCCTTGCTCCCCTGTCTAATTGGTCCTGCGGCTGATTAACGGCGATCATTTCCACCTGATTATTCAGCTATTATGTTGCGTGCTTGCCTTTCATCAGAGCCAGGTTATTCAAGCAGCGATATGTATCTTGTTCTGTTTTTCTGATTGTGACCTGTTTCTGTCCTATGGATATGGAGTGTTTTTTCTGCCACAAACGCTTTGAACGTTCTCACTGCCTGTCTCACCTCGAATTATGGATCCAACGTTGTAAGGTTATTACAGAAGCCTCAGCTCTCCTTGCGGTTTTAGGATTTTGAGAAGGTATTGATGGATAGTTCTATGTGACACCACCAAGCCAGCATAAATGCTTTTCAGACACATTCATTTACAACCATAAAGCAGTCTGTGCTGGTTTCATTGCTCCTAAAGGAAAAGTGTGAAGTCAGAGTGGGTTTCCTAAATAAATTCTAAGGACTGCTGACAAATTAAAATTAATTGGAAATTGGTTGTTCAGCAATGTTGAAGGCACCTGTGTGTAAATGAGACTTCACTGTATCTGTTCCTTCAAAGTTCAATATTGCACCATGCCGTAAATGTGTCTGGGAAAAGAGTTTCTTAATGAAGCACTGTTTACTCTTTCAGTAGTTTCAGAGTTGTCCTCTGCTTTATCTACCTCAATATTGATGCACTGTTTGTGGCTAATTTTAGTTGAATAATTGGATGTTAGCTTTGATTCCACCACAATGTCATTTTTCTTTCTCCATAGCTTGTATAATTTGTTGTTTAATTTGTGTGTTTTTTTCTTTCCTTTTTGTTTTTTTGTTTTTTTCGGGTAACAAGATGGATGGGCTATCCACTTTAGGTTATTTTAAAATTAGCATGGTCTTTCTGTTAAATAATGTTTCAGAGACCTGTATAACTGTTAAGCCTTAATATTTTTTCTGGCAAAACTAGTTTAATGAAACTGTTCCCAATGTTTTGTTAAAGGTTGTTTTAAAACTTAAATTAAAAAAACGTGAACTAAAAAAGAGAT